GATCCGCCTAGCCAGAATACATCATCCCTCCCCCTCAGTTACATTGTTCAGAACTTCTCTCTGCCATCCTTTTGTCTTGTTAAGTGTGTCTTCTAGCCAAGCCTCCTGGAATCTAGTGCCTACCTGCAGGGCTTGGCTAATCCTTCTATTGTTAATCAATGGTGACCGTTTTATTTTTAAACTTCTTCCTTTCTCACATTCCCTTCCCCCGCTACCACTTTTCTAGGATGGTCGCGTACCACCTGCCAGATGCCAATGTACCACAGGTGGTACCCGTACCACTGGTTGAAAAGCCCTGCTCTAGATAGCACCACTAATGGCATTGAACATATCTAAATGCTGCCTGTAGGGTCTTATTTTATAGAGGTCAAACCTAACACACAACAAAGCCAAATGTGTTCCATAATAAAAAACAACAACAACAAATAAAACAGCAACACAAAGACAAAACTTACATGCATATAGACCCATTCAAGGTAAGCAAAAGTATGCAAAAAAACAGAAAAAGATTAAATAAACCAAAGAAATTAAGGCACAAGATAAAAAGGAAACATCGCTAAATGTACCTTTTGTTAGCATCATTCACTATACATCTCCTACCTTTCTATCCTTGCAAGCCATCTTTGCTTCCATCACCTCCGCACATTGATTTATACATTTGCTTTTTGTCCTTTAAACTTCTTTTTCAGGGCCTGTGTGTGATTTTAATTATATTAAGTTTCTTTCAGTATACTCTTTTCTTAATCTTTTGATTTCATAATCTCTTTAGTCCATACATGTATCACTTTTTAAGCAGGAATAAAAACTTTTTTTCCCCACGTGACTTGACTCTTAATACATTCGCCAGGGCTACTGAATTACAATACAGGGGTTTGTTGGGTACGTGTACACGTGGTTGGAAGGTGGAAAATGAAGGTCTTGGAAATACCAGGTAAATAGGCCTAGGACGGCTCGTATCAAATCTTGGATTCAGACCACTTTCTTTCCCCCGCCCCTCCTTCCCGTTTTTGCTTTTTTTTAAATATATATGGTGGGCCTGCACAGCGGGACTTGGATGCAAGATTTACCCAGAATTTTATTCCAGGCTCGCAGTAACTGCAGCAGAGGCGGTCCCCATTCTGCAAGCCCCCGCCTGGATGTCCAGACACCACCCTGCAAAGTGGAGGAATAGCCGTCTGCTTACTCTCGCCTGCTTTTTCGCCCTCGCGCGGCTGTACAGGACAGCGAAGTCAGAAAGCCGATATACGCCCAGTCGCGGGCTTGGAAAAAAATGCTTAGCCCGGCTCGATACCAGAATATTCAGCCAGCCTTTCTCTCCGCTGCCGAGGCATGGAGAATCGTGGCTGAGTAGCCAGGCGTCTCCCGTCCCGGGCACCACCCTCGCCCAACATACCAAGCCCATCGTCGCCTAGAGGCAAAGCAGAGTCTACGGGATCCCTCCGAGGAGGCGAGGACCCTGCTCTTATACCATACAGGGTCCGTTCCACTCTTCTGCACCCGAAGGTCTCGGGGACCTTCCACCGGGGTCAGACGACCCACTCACCTTTTGACCAAACTGCTCTCGTGTGGCCCTGTCACCCCGTTACCTATGCAGGCGAGGGGGTTCAGATTACGGCCCCCGGGCCCCCTACTGCCTCCGCCAGTCGAGGCCCAGAAAAATAGTCCGACCCCCCCCCCCCTTCTTTCTCGTCCATCCCCTCATCTACTTTTTCACATCCCTCCTTCCTTGAAACACTCCTTCCATTCCCATTTTACTCCTCCCACTTCCCCACCCGGCCCTTTCTACTCTGTTGCGCTTTTGTTCTTCAGCAGCTCGCTTCCCCCCCCCCTTCATATTTCCATAAGAATTATCTTTTCTCTTTTTGTAAATTCCCTTACAGTTAGAAAACAGATTTAACAAGTTGTCTTTATGTGGAAAAGGGCTGGTTTATAGAGAAAACGGGACAAAATGTTCAAAGGCAACATTCTCCGCCAGTACTAAATAAATAGTTTATATTAGTTAGCCCAGCCCACCAAAATTCCATTTCTTCGTTAAACTTTCACGCTGTCCTCTGCTTTACTGTATATCGTTTGTTTTTTTCTTTCCTGAGCTGAAGAGCATCGCTTGCACAAATGCAAAACAAAAATGAAGAGATGGTTTGTTTAGATACAACTTCTATACCAGACAAATTCAGTATAAAGGGAAGTTTCGTAGATTAAAAAAAACCCCACATTTTAAATAAAGGAACATTGTTTAAATAAATCATGATAAATACATCACGATTCTTCCAACAGTTTATATTGGCTAATTTGGATACATCTGGCTTCAAATTAATAAATATGTTTGTTTTATACTGCAATTCTATGACTTTAAAATAGAAGTCAGTAGAATTTACTTTCAGTTAAGTGGTGAGAGATTGTAACTTAAAATACTGCATAGTGTTAAAATGTGCTGTACCAGTAGTTATTTCAAACAAAATTTCACACAATATAGCAACCAATCATATACTGTCATATAAGCAGACATAAACCAGAGGTTTATAAAGGTTTTACTGCACTATTTCAGCCCACTGACTGCAGTTTATTTAGCAGAATATGATCAAGTAAACCATGCCTTAGCACAATGTGAGACTTGAGTCAAACTATTTGTCATCCATCTCTAGGTGAACAGCGGCCTTTAAGAATTTTAAAAACTAATTATTTGTTAATGCAACATGAAGATGTCAGAACTGCATGCCAGTCTAAAAAAAATGTACTACTTTTCTCTCTCTAAATTTTGATCTAATAGGAAATTATAGCTGCTGTCATTTCACCTATAAAGTCTTTTCATTGTTTTGGTGCAGAACAGTGTTGGTCACATTGTACATTCTTAAAAAGCTACAAAGAAAATATGTTTAACTTCTCTGAACAAAGCAAAATAATTAATGAAGGAACAAGAATGCAGGAGATGACCTACTGTATAAGCTATAAAATAATGTCACTTTCCTTGCTGTTTTCATTAAAACCAGGTCAGGATGGCTTGATGGCAACAATTCTTGACATATTAATGAAGGAACAAGAATGCAGGAGATGATCTACTGTATAAGCTATAAAATAATGTCACTTTCCTTGCTGTTTTCATTAAAACCAGGTCAGGATGGCTTGATGGCAACTTTTCTTGACATATTTTTTACAGACTGAGCCTGGTAACCAATAGAGTCAATGAAAAAGTTTGTTGTACAAAGCTAAGCAACAGCATCATTCTAACATTTCCACAGCTTGTAAGTTACACATAGCCCTAAGTTCTGGTTCCTATTAAAATCCTTCACGTGTAGAACAAGAACAGTAATAAATCTCTCAAATAAACCTCAGGCCCATTTATTTATATTTTTGGACCACTGCTGAGATGATGCACATGCTCTAATAGCCTATAGGTAGTCCTCAACTTATGACCTCAATTAAACCCAAAATATCTGTTGCTAAGTGAGACATTTGTTGACTGAATTTTGTCCATTTTACAACCTTTCTTGCCACCATTGTTAAATGAATCACTATAGTTGTTAAGTTAGTAACACAGTTAAGTGAATTAGGCTTCCTCATTGACTTGGCATATCAGGTCGCAAAAGGTGACCACATGATCCCAGATCACTGTAACTGTCATAAATATGAGTCAGTTGCCAAGCATCTGAATTTTCATCACATGACATGGGGATGCTGAAATGGTCATGTGTGAAAAACGGTCAAAAGTTACTTTTTTCAGTGCTGCTGTAACTTTGAATGATCACTGATAAGTCGAGGAATATCTGTATTGCTGTTTTTCCCCCCCTTAGATGGTCTTTATTACTGCAGAGAAATAACTCATTTTTTAAAATTGCACTCTTTCCATCATTCCCAACTTTGGTTCATACTTTAGATGTAGCCATAACTTTGTTTTAGTGTGGTTTCTTGGATCAGCCACAATTGGTCAGATACACATACCATGCCAACTTATAAAGTATGCTTCATGTACCTGGCACCAAATGATCAGGTCCATATAATATGCCAAGCTGGTTGAACTACGGTAATTATATGACAGAAAATCGAAGTTATTTTTGGTAGGAAATCTGAGGTTTTAAAAAAATAACCGTACCATATAGTAATGATGAGTAAAAAGGTAGGTAAAGGTTTCCCCTGTCCAGTCGTGTCTGACTCTAGCAGGTGGTGCTCATCTCTCTTTCTTAGCTGACAGAGCCAGCATTGTCCAAAGATGCTTCTGTAATCATGTGGCCAACATGACTGCACGCCTAGGTGCACAGAACGCTGTTACCTTCCCACCGAAGCGGTATTTGCTATTTACTCGCATTTGCATGCTTTTGAACTGCTAGGTTGGCAAGAGCTGTGGCAGATAATGAGAATTCAAAATGCTGTGCAGTGCTCAGATCTCGAACTGAGTCTATCAGCTTTCCAGCTGATAAGTTCAGCATCTTTAACCACTGAGCCATCACACTCCCTTCTATATACTAGATGTCTACTCATCTTGCCCTTCTGTTTAAGAATGTTCTTGCTGTAATATGTGAAATATTGATAAATATGAAAATGGTACTTGTTCTGTTATTGGTTATAACTTTTTTTTAGCAAAAAGTAATTACATTTCTGGTTAAAATGAAGAGATATAGAATTTTTACTTATTTTTATTTTATTTTTTTTATTAAGATGAAGATAAAACCATAATAAAATCACCATAATACAGAGCCATAGAATTGCACTGAGATAGATATTATAATTCAGTATCTAAGGAAGCTTCACAATGGTATACCTCCACAATACCCAAGGCAACATTCTATCTTAACTGAGCAGCTAAAAGTTTATACATATGGCTACCAAACTGGATATTCCATCAGTCACTGTCAAAAGCTACAGAGGCAGCAATTAGACTATATAAAAAAATGATTAGGAAGTTATCAGTTTGCTTGAATTTTGTTTATATATAACACTTATAATGAATATAGTATATGGTGCAATTTCCTTCCTTTTAAAATGTTATAGTAGATGAAAAGAAAGGAAAACCACAATATACAAGATGGTATGTAAAAAACAAATAACAAAATAAAAAAGAAAGTTTGTTTTCTTTCTTCGTCTTAATCCAAGTAATGCTATTTGACAGAAATTACCCTTTAGTTTATATTATTAGAAATATAGAAGGTGCATTTACTCAAGAAATAGCAAACATTGTACATTCACATTTCATGGTAATTTAAAATTTTAAGTTAAAAATATGTGTGGCAAGTTACTTCTATTATGAACATCTCTTTAGCCACGTTTTGTATTTTACTTTAACACCCAAAACCATGATGGTATACATGTTGCATTTCAAGAAAACAGACTCACCCAGTAGTGTCTCAAAACAGGAAGCCACAGTTTAGTTAAAGAACATTATATAATGAGGGTAGGTATAAAATGGCATTTAGCTTGTGCTTTTTAATGAGCTTTTTTAATGTATTGAACAAACACAGTTGAAAGGTAGAATTGAGCAAAAGGCAGTCAGCAAATCAGGCAAACTAAATTCAAGGTTTGTATGACTGCAGTGTTAGTTTTAGAAGCTGCTTCTTACTGGCTGAGAGGAGTAAGGTACTCTGCTTAATCTACAGGTTATAATAAAAAAAGAAAGAGCAGCAATTGCTCAGTTATCTATTTTTCTCTCTGGAACAATAAAAGAGCCAACTGTAAAATTATTTGTATTAAA